TTGACAACTTCTAAAATAATAGCATTGAGAAATCTTCATAAAGGATAGGACAACACATTAGTAGATTAATAATTAATCTGAGCGACAAATACAGGCCGTTAGATTTCGATCCAACAGCTACAAACAGGGAATCCCTCTTAAAGTTATAATAATTGTAACCGTTGCATCGAAATCCAACGGTTCGTGTTTGTCGCTCAGCAGGATCTCAAGGGTTTACCTCGAAGAGGATCCAGTTCCATATTTTTCCCTTGTAAAACTTTACTAAGTAATTAAACATAATGCAAGTCATCGCCTTTTATTAATTATGAAGTATTTTTTGAAGTTCCCTCGGTCTTCAGCCGATAATCATTTTTATGTTGTTAATTGGAGTGTCCGCTAATCATGATCAGCACGTGGGGTGTCCGCTAATCATGATCGGCACGCAAAATACACATATATATTCTTAGTCATAAGGATTATTAACATTTTTAAATAGGATTGACTTTTGGTTTCTCAAGTTCATGTTGTTAAAGTCCCACATTCGTGGGTTTTATCTTAGTTGAAATTGATATTCTGAATTTTTTTTTTTTTTTTTTGGTAAATGAACTCCTTAAATTAACCTTTTGCCGTCAAATTCAATGAAATTTCATCCATCGTTGTCAAATACTGGCACGTGACCAACACGTGATTCACTCTTGAGAATAAACTCTTGCCAGCATTAATGGCAATCTAGATAAAACTTCATTGATATGACATTGAGGAATTAATTGACTGACTTCAAATAGTTCAAGAAATTAATTTAACAAAAAATAATTCATGGGGCCATTTTAATTAGAATAATAGTTCAAGATGTCAAATGGTAGTATATCCTTATGCATAATGCAAGTTGTCATCTTTTATTAATATGAAGTATTTTGAAATTCCCTCAGTCTCCAGCTAATAATCATTTTTGTTGTTGTAAATTGGGGTGTCCGCTAATCATGATCAGTTGTCCAATAATCATGATCAGCACACAAACTCAATATATATTCTGCCACAAGGTTTATTAAGATTTTTAAACAAAAAAGGATTATTATGATTTTTAAATAGGATTGACTTTGGGATACTTAAGTTAATGTACTGTACATATATATAACTATTTAAAACACAAGTGAATATGACACACCCCGACCGAGACCAGGACGTGCTGGCCGTCACGTGGAAGTGACGTAGCCAGGTGCACAGTGCGGAAGCTAATAAAGTAGTAATAAAAAAAGTACGAATAAATAAAAACTAGCATACAAAGTAGTAAAAACAAGTGCTAGCGTAAGTGAAACGCTAAGTTCAAAGCAATACGTCTACAGCAGTCCAAATTAAAATAATACGACAACAGTGCACCCGAAGGTGACCCTACATTGGTGCGTGTCTGTCAGAAGCGCCGGGAAGCCCTCTAGGAAACCACCGAACCTGCTAAGCAACTAGAACCTGGAGGGGCGCAAAACAAAAGCGTGAGTGGGCAAAAACAAAACTCTTTGAAAACCATTTAGTAAAACACATTCTAACCCCTCGCCGTAAAACCTGTATACTTCCCAGAAAATAAACATATATACGTATGTATAAATATGCCAATCATGCTCAAGAATATGCCATGTCAAAGCCTCATAATGAAATGCAAGTGCTCAGATATAAACCACATCAATAGCATATAATCTGGCGGCCGGAGTCACCTAACGTGACCTGTACGGCTGCATCTAGAGCTCAAATCTCAAACTAAACAACTGAACCTGCCCACGAGTCGGAACCACCTAAAGTGGTCTGTACGATAGGCCTGGGTGTAACATATAAAACGCTCTTGTGCTACGATCACGTGAAGGCTGTGCGAATAATCGCGGGTCACCTACGAGTCGGAACCACCTAATGTGGTCTGTACGACAGGACTGTGCACCTAACTTGGATCCAAGCTGAGCGTGTGGTGCGGGAAGTGAACATCACGTGAAGGACTGTGCCCTAACTCTGGGCGGGAGCACTAACACCGGGGGTGCAGGTTATGAGCTCTCTAAGTATCTCGAATCACCATTTAAAGTAAACATGAATAACACTTACCTGGCACTTAACTGTACGTTCACAACACCCGATATGCATATATATATGTATGTCACTACTAATGCATGCGATGATGCGTAAACGATAATAATATGGTGCATGGCATAAAACAATTAACCCTTTTTAAAAAATTTCTGGGAAAATAAATGTATATAGGTATATACGGAAAACCAAAAGCCCACTCACTGGTATGTGGAAGGGTCGTAGCCCCCTGCCTCGAGTGACCACGCTCGTCCTCGGGATACGTTTCACCTATATGCGAAAATACTATAAAAATGTTAATTTTAAAGCACATAACCAACTTCTTGTAATAACTTCTCGTACATTGCTCAAATTGGACAAATGAATATACCAACGTGCTCTACACAACCTCAGGATCACACCAGAATTTTTAGAAAAATTTTCACCGCAGCACGCGCCCACGCGCCGGCCACGCGTAGGCACATGCGGTGCACACGGACGGCGTCAACTGACAGCCGTGAGGAATATTCCGTTAGTTCTAACAGATTCCGTCAACTGCGTCAGGAATATTCCGTCAGATTTGACGGAATATTCCGTCTCCTTCCCCGGCTAACCTCCGGCGCCGTCGCCGGCGCCGGAAAATCGTAAAACCTGCAACCTACGTTTTCTCACTCATTTCTCAACCATTTTTCACGATTCTTGAACCAAAATGACGCCTAGGACTAGAAGAATAACGATATACAAGTTTTAAGGGTCAAAAGCCACTAGAAATTACCTGTGCAAACTAACCAAAACCGGCCAACTCCGACCACGGTGATCCCGACGTCAAAACTCTTCAAACGAAGTACTTCGAGGCTCCTTGGGACCTCACCAAACCACCTACGAGCTTCAAAAACTCAAAAACGTAAGAATTTACGTTCGCATGAATAGTACTCAAATCGGACCTTGTGAAATCGACGTGAAAACGTCGGAGTTCCTACCTGAAAATGGTACGATCGTGCTCCCCTCGACCTCACGAGCTCGAATATGGCCTTAGTTCCCTCGATCTGCCAAGGTTTAGTGGGTTTAGTGTGGTGTCCGTACATTCGAAATAAGAAGAAGAAGAAATGGGAGCACGGGAGAGAGACAGGGAAAAAGACAGAGGTGAGGGAGAGTGACAGTGTGTGTGTGTGTGGCCCAACACTTGCCAACACCACACAAAACAACCAATAACGTAAAAGAAACGATCTAGGGGTAAAAATGTCATTTCACACTCACGTTTTAGATAATTTCGGGACGGGATGTCACAGAATATACCTCAAAAAAAGCGTAAGATATACGGCTAGGTATAATGTTGTGGATCGTGTTGCACCATATATGGCCCAGGCAACATGGTCGTCGTGATCTTCATTTTTGTAAAAATATGAATTTGTGATTAACTATAACCACTTTCAATATGTCAAAGTTACTACTCTAAGTACTGGTTTGGTACTAAGGTACTTTTATAAAAAATGGGTATAAAAAAAAACTGAATTCAATAAAATGTTTGGTAAACATTTAAAAACAGCTTATTTTCACAGTTTTTAGTGAAAAAAAAAAAGCTGAAAACGTGAAACAGCAAAAATGAGCTTATTCTCACAACACAGTAGAAGTAGTTTTTTCTCAAAGCACAACAATATCAAACCAGCCCTAAGGCTTAAGATAAGATTTGAAGTTAGTTCAGATTTTATTATAAAATTAATTGATAATATAAAATGTAGTTTGATTTCTTACAAGAATATATAAAGTTTATTTAGTAATTAAATTTATGATGTGGGATATTTCTCCACATGCTCAAACAGCCTTGTATGTGTGATAAATTTTCAAGCCTCTCACATACGTGAACAACACAAATTTGGTGACGTAGAGCATGTGTGGCAATTTAGGCTTTACACATACGCCAACATGCTCTCATACATAGCTAAAACCAATTAGTAATATAGAGAGTAATCCAATCTTTATGAGCACATGCAAAGTCATTTTGATAATTTAATATAGCGATATGTAACATTTCTTCACATCCTCATGACATGCTCACGGTCATTTGGGCATATCCAATATGATCTACATCCTACTTGTAATTTTTCATTCCCTTGTGATACATTGTTGTGAATATAATGATAAATAAAATATTATATGGTACAATAAATTAAGAGACATGAAGTCTTAACCTAAGTTCTCAAGCCCTCCAATATGTTTCACATTCATATATATAGTTTGTACTTATTGAGAAACAATCACAATAGTCATAATGACTTAGAAAAAGCAAGAATAGAATCAAGTTTTTCTACCAAATCCTTTTCATATTAATATAACTAAGCCATTCAAACTTTGTTGTGACATGATTGATCAAAGGTAGTTAGGATATGATAAGTTTCATATAAATATAAATTTATTGAATGAGATTACCTTAAATTGCAATCTTTTAGAACTTGATTCACACATCCACTAAAATATAGAGACTGAAAATTTAAAATAGAGATAGAATAGGGGTGAAGGCTCAAAGAGTATAACTATTCTATCTCCTTTCTATTTGGTTAACACAACAAGAAAGGAATGCAATCTTGCATAAAACTAACAAGAGTATGTGTGAGAAATAAAAACGGATGTGTGATTAACACTTTTTTAAAACACTAGGCAACAAGCATATCACAAATTTTCTTGTAGTATTACAAAGGCTTATAAGAAGTTGGTTGTTTAGGATAAAACATAACTCCCTTTACTATATATAGTCATGCATGCACTAGAAATGATACTTTGTAATTGCTTATGTGTGTATAGAAGGGAGATTGATGAAGTACACATAACCAAAAAATTACGGCACAACAAACATGCTTGTGAATTATACGCTCCCATTCCACCGTTCCATTTATAGATTTCAATTTCAACCAAATAATCAAACTAAATATCCACTTACATAATGTCAGATGCATCATGCATGCAAATTAAAGCCATGACCATGGTAAACGCGCGCACCTTCTCTACTTCAGAATATAATTTTACATTAACACTTGCATTACATCATCCTCCTTTCTACAATACATGCCTAGCTAGCAAGCTGCAATATGATATACGGATCATCGATCAGTATCTCATAAAATATGATTTTCTGTGGATTGATGCAGTAACAAGCATCTAACTGGTAAGTTGTGCCGTTTGTATGTCATTACCGATAGTTTTACACTGCTGAGATGTCATTGATCATCTTCATCAAGACACCAATATTATGAAGAAGTTCCATTATTAACAGATAAGAAATCGATAAAAGAAAGACCGGCTACGTTGCTTATGTTCTGTTGTCCCGTACCTTCCTGATCCACCTCCTCCTCATCCTTTCTTACGTTATCTATCACTTCACTTCCATTAGACTCAGTATTTACTTGAAGAAAATCGTAAAACTCAATTGGCTGATCTTTATTATGATCTGCAACATATACATAATAAATACATATAGTTAGGACCATGCATGCATGCATGAGAATATTGATCAATGATCATTGTAACTGATAAGGGCATGCATCATCATTAAATATATATACATATATTGCATATATATTCTGTGGTTAGGAAGATGCATGCATGGAACACTTGGAGTAGTCATGAGAATTAATTGGTACTAGAGGATAATCACCTTGGTGCATTGTGACACTGCAGGTATTCGGATAGAACTCTTTTGGAAAGAGAGGACGAGGGTCATGAGTGAAAGCTGGCCGATACTGATGATAATTTCTGTCGTTGCATGAGTAGTATTTCCCAATATAATTATATGAATCCAGGTTCCACGTGCCAATATTGCAATTGATCTGCAGGGGAGGGTCTTGTTTTGAAGAGGATTTTGGTTCATTATTGTTAGTATTGATACTCATGAACGAGGTTTGAGCCGTAGTAGCAGCAGTAATACTAGAAGTATTCCTTATTAATTTGGCGTGATTAAGCCTAGATCTTTCTCTGCACCTGCGTGCCATGATGACATGCCAATGGTTCTTGACTGCGTTATCTGTACGTCCAGGGAAAAGCCTTGCAATAACAGCCCATCTATTTCCATGGATGCGGTGAGAAGCTAGCAGACGCTCTTCTTCCTCTTCTGTAAAAGGGTTCCTATTGATTCTTGGATCCAACTGATTGAACCATCTCAACCTACAGCTTTTTCCTGCATCATTCAATTCATTGTGAACTAATTATTCGTGGACATGTTTACATTACAAAAACATCGTTCAATTAACCCTAATCAACTAACTACTCTCTTTTCTCCACACACACACACACATGCATGTCTTAATTAGTTGAGTAATTGAACTTTTAATTAATTTAATTAATTGCATACAAATATATTTGCCCTAGCTAGCTGCAGCATATATAATTTTGGGCATGTTAGTATAAGTAGTTTCCAACAATTTCAACAAATGCAAACACATCGATCAGAAAACGAAAAGAAATAGAAGAATAGAAATAGTATACCTGATCTTCCTTGGAGCTTTTCTGCTATTGCGTTCCAGTTATGAGGTCCATATCGTTCCACCAACTCCCTAAGCTTCTCGTCTTCAGCTGGCCTCCAATGGCCTCTAGTGCACATCTTAATTATGTGTTTATGATCTTCAAGTGTTTTTTTTTTTTTTTATATATATAAATTAACACAAAAAGAACAAATTAATAAATTGGAATTAAAGCTGCCTAACAACCTATAGCCAGAGCTAATTCTACAACGACCATGGATGCCTGATGTTCTCCCTTCGTGATCCAATAGATCGACAAATACTATCTAGATTTGTAGAGAGCAAAGAAGAAGAAGAAGAAGACGACGACCACGACGCCCAGTGCGGGGGCAAGGCAATAACAACCGAGACAATTATAACTAAGGTACGGCAGGAGAGATCAATAGATAAGGGAGGAGCGAAGCTAGAGAGCTTGGAGATCCTTTGAATTAGCTAAATGGATTATTATATAAGGGAGAGGGAAAGAGAGATGAAAAGTATTTTCCGTTAGAGAGTGGGAGAGTTTGGACAGACCTTACACCTGCGATTGATGCAACGTCTTGGCTAACAAAAAAAAAAAACCACAATTATATCATCATCATCCCACCAAGTTATATTATAATGTTATAAGATGAAAATATGACATGAGAACATGAGAGAGAGAGAGAGAGAGAGATGGGTTGCTTGGTGGGGTGAAATATGGTTCCTCTTTCAACGTCTTTCCAAATTTCTAACCTACAACGTCTACTTATAACCCACCTAGCCATCTTACTCTCATTTTCTTTTATTTATTAATTTTTGTACGTATATGAAAAAAATTATTTCAGCAATGATCACATTAAGATAAATATGTATCACTAAACAGAAGTTGTAACTGATTGCATAGACCAGATGATTACGTATCCATACAGCTAACCCTAATTCAATTAATTAAACCTTATCCTAATTACGAGAAGAAATTAAATAATTTTATTGTTAAAGACTAGAAAGAAAGGTGAGGGTTGGTTTGGTATCTGTGGTGGTGTACTCAGGAATATGGAAGTTGAATTAGGTTTTGTTCACCTTTCAGACCTAACTAACAATTTTAGCTTACAAACCTCACGACTTCAACTGCACGTGGAGAATCGGACATCATTATTATAAAATAATAATAATAACTACTTCTTTTTTAGTCAAACTAACTCAAACTGCTCGATTTGTTTCTCATCTCCAGGCCGTGTAGCTGTGTAATAGCTTACATTGATAGTGTAATAGGATGTCCACGATGTAATAATCAACATCATTGCAGTAATAATACTGTCATTCTGTAACTTTGTTATTATTGATCACCTGGACAATAAACTGTAATGATTATAATGTAACCTTGTTTCTTGTAGTTTAATTAGACGTTGAATCATGTTAGAACTTAACATTATGTTCTAATAGCATTAACGTGAAGGTTAGGAGCTCTAAAGTGAATAACAATGTATGGTTAATTTTGCGTCCACTCAAAATATGATATCTCATGTCTATATTATAACAAGACATCCATGATGTACAAACAATATTGTTAATTAATGTAATAACAATATCATTTTGTAACCTCACCATTATCATATTACGTTGAAAAATAAATGTTGTCATATAATCTTACACAGAGTACAATACCCTTAAGAAAAGAAGGGCACCATAGTATTTTTCATTAAATTATTAGATAGTGTTATTCACACACTCATTTTTATTTCTCACACATCCTTCTCAAATTTCGGCCGTCAGATCGAATGAACTAAAGAAGATCAATAACAAAAAATTAACAAAGATGTGTACATACATAGAAGGTAAAAATTAGTGTGTGAATGGCTGAATGCACTTTCTTAAATTTAACCCTAGATATGTGTCGTACGTCAATAATGTTTGAATCACGCTTGCATGTTGTGATTGTCATTTAATAGATGGTATAATTTTTTGTAGTCATTCTTAACACATGAAAGTTGATGTGTGTGCGTGTGTGTGTGTGTACACTAATTAACAACCTGCATGAGTTACAACCAATGAAATGGAAGACATCTCTCTCCGATTGTAGCCATATCCATGTATGTAATTAAAGTATGAGCATACTGGTGTAGACCCCCTACTTAAAAAAAAAAAAAAAAAAAATAGATGTTAAAAGAGAGAATTTTTTAGACCATATTTTGTACACGACATGATATGTTAGTTGATAGTTGGAATTTGTTCTTTAATTTGTTAAAATAAACTGAAAATATGATTTTAGCCCTTGAAACTCAAGTTTCTTTACATAAAACCCGACATAGTCTTTTTACTAGAATAAAATCCAATGACTCGGCTCCATATAAAAAAATTCATTAATTCTGTTTGACTTTACACATTTTGCATTTTCCAGATGCCTAAAATATCCCTACTTACAATTTTAATGTATACATTTAATTCTATGCAGATTTGAGGGAGGGATTAATGAAAAAAATGTATTAATGTTTAAATTCATTGCATATTAATATATCTTAACAAATTGAATGTTAATGCTTCTGGCAAAAATAAAAAATAAAAAAATAAACATTAATGTTATACTTTCCTTAAGATTTCATAATCGTTTTCCAAATTTGCATAAATTAGATAATTTTAATTTAATCTTGTCATCTTACCATATGGAAACTGAAAGGGAACTATGGAGTAATTTACATAAAAACATAGGTAAATTATTTGGACATATGTGTTAGTAATAAAATATTCTCAGTATATGTAATAATACATGCAAAATAATTTACCTACAAAATTAAAAAAATGTTATTTGATTCAATATTAATTTATCTACATTTGTTATAATAAAATATAATTGCGTGCACACACACACACACACACACACACACACATATATATATATATATATATATATTGTAACATCTCACATCGTCCAGGGAAGTGGATCCTCTAAGCCTTATATGTATATTCCTATCTCTACCTAACACGAGGCCTTTTGGGAGCTCACTGGCTTCGGGTTCCATAGGAACTCCAAAGTTAAGCGAGTTCGGGCGAGAGCATTCTCAGGGTGGGTGAGCTACTGGGAAGTTCTCATGTGAGTTCTCATAAACAAAACCGTGAGGGAGTGGTCGGGGCCCAAAGCGGACAATATCATGCTACGGTGGAGTCGAGCCCGAGATATGACAATTTGGTATCAGAGCCAATCCTTGGCAGGAAGTGTGCCGACGAAAAGGGGTGAATTGTAACATCACACATCGCCCAGGGGGTGGATTCTCTAAGCCTTATATATATATATATATTCTCATCTCTACCTAGCATGAGGCCTTTTAGGATCTTACTAGCTTCGGGTTCCATAAGAACTCCGAAGTTAAGCGAGTTCTCAGGATGGGTGACCTACTGGGAAGTTCTCATGTGAGTTCTCAGAAACAAAACCGTGAGGGAGTGGTCGGGGCCCAAAGCGGACAATATCGTGCTACGGTGGAGTCAAGCCCGAGATGTGACAATTTGGTATCAGAGCCAATCCCTGGCAGGAAGTGTGCCGACGAAAAGGGGTGAATTGTAACATCGCACATCGCCAAGGGGGTGGATTCTCTAAGCCTTATATATATATTCTCATCTCTACCTAGCATGAGGCCTTTTGGAAGCTTACTAGCTTCGGGTTCCATAGGAACTCCGAAGTTAAGCGAGTTCAGGCGAGAGCATTCCCAAGATGGGTGACCCACTAGGAAGTTCTCGTGTGAGTTCCCATAAACAAAATCGTGAGGGCATGGTCGGGGCCCAAAATGGACAATATCGTGCTACGGTGGAGTCGAGCCTGGGATGTAATGGGGGCCCGGGCCGGGATGTGACATATGTATATTACTAAAATGTGCCCAATATATGTAATAATGCATGTAAAATTATTTACGTACAAAATAAAGGTATGCAAGTTGATTAAAAAATAATATATCTACTACTTTTTGTTTATGAATTTTAATTTAACTATTGTCTTTTTTTTTTTTTTTTGTACAAACATAATGCACCTACAATATATAATTCCTACTAAACTAATATATATTTGCGCGCACGCGCGCACACACATATATATATATATTAGTAGTAAAATGTGCCCAGTATATGTAATAATGCTTTAAAAAAAATTACCTACAAAATAAAGGAATATAATTTGATTGAAAAGATAATATATCTACTACTTTTTGTTTATGAATTTCAATTTTCCTTTTTTTTTTAGAAACATAATATAACTACAATATAATTTACCTATTGTTTAATTCTTATAAAAAATTAATTTACTTATACCTTAAATATAAATATAGATAAATTTTTTTTGACACGCACATATAAGAACAAATCAAAATGGCTAATGTATGTAGTAATCTGTATAAAATAATTTACTTTCAAAATAAAAGAATATTAATTGATTCTTTTCTTTTTTTTTTATCAAACAATATTATATGATGCAAAATAACTGATTATACAAAGGATCCTTTTTTCATTCAAAAAATATGCCTATAATTGTTTATGAATATGGGTAAATTAATATATATATATATATGTTAATAATATTTATGAAAAAAAAAACGTAAAAATTTCGTATGGGGTTAATTGCTAATCATAATTAGGGTGAGTAATAATATTTATTAACATAATTAGGGTTTTGTGGCATAAGTTGTAAATAATAATTGGTTATATATTTATCTACATGATAGTCTATTTGAAATTTGGGTTTTATTTGAATGTTAAATATTAGTTGGGTTTTTGTTTGAAAAATAGGAGTTTCAAGGGTCTTTCTTTAAAGAGCCATCAACCACCATATCATGTGGTTTACAAAATATAATCTAAAAAGATGGTCTCCCTAGCATTTTTCAAAAAAATAAATAAAAAAAATAATTTATTGAGCATGTTGGTGTGACCCAACATCCAAACTGCACAGAATCAAGGAAACTAATTAGTTTTCCTGATATTAATTTGTAAGGACAGGAGCCATTCTTATGACCGTTGGCCTAACCATTCTCCCAAGAAAGGAGATCATCTAAATTGCTTGTAAAAAAAGTAAGGGCCAGGAAACACATCCTCCATCTTCACCCACCTTACACTGCGCTTGACATTGGAAAATCTCACCAGTAGCTCAGCATGCTGTTTCTTCATCACCTACCTAGCTCTCTCTCTCTCTCTCTCTCTCTCTCTCTCTCACACACACACACACACACACAGATATATGCACAAAGATTTGTTGAATTAATGGTGTATATCTGCTGCAAATTAAATATTGATGACAGATCACTTAATTAATTTATGGAGTAAAATTTTGAATATATGGATCATCCATGAGGAATTTTGAAGATGCATGCTATCTAGATTCGTCCATATATATAATTTGTTAATTGAAAATCCAAACTGATTAAAAGTCATTGATTGTAGAGTTCTTCACACTGTTCACCAGTTTCACCTACTTTTCTAATGGCAGTGAGCAATGGTATCAAACTCATTCCAAGAGTTGTTTAATTACTGTTTACTTGCTGCTTACCGGAACTTCTATCTCTTTTACGTTAACAAGAGTTTAACATAAAATCATGAGCAATATCGATTTCTTGTTA